GTGTGTGTGTGTGTGTGTGTGTATATATATATACATATATATATATATATATGTATATGTATATACACACTGAATATTTCTCTGTGCATGCGTGCGCACCATGTCTGCATGGAGGCATGCATAATGAGGTGCTGAAAATGCTCAGGCTCACACAGCTCTGGTGATCTGAAGCCAAAGAACACCACAAAACACACACTGTACACATTAAAAAACACAATAGACCATCAGAAAAATGTACAGCGAAACATAAGGAAAGGCAATTTTAGTCATTACTGGTTTTGATTATACTTAATATGAGTTGAAAATAAACAGTGAGGGGCTGTAAACCAGATTTCCATAACCTCCAGGGGGTTTCGACCTCTGAATAGAAGGATAAAGGAATCCATAACTATAACATGGATCATGTTACTATAAACTTAAATAAGACCAGGACTTAAAGGCTGTTACAGACAGATCATCCTAACAGACCACCATGCTGTTGATACCACCAAGACTCACTGCACCTCCACTTTCCTACTCTAAGGTCTTGGAAATTTGCCCTTCGTTCTTGTCAACTCTAATATTTTGAACATTTTTACAAGCCGCTTTGTTTTGATTGTAGCAGTTAGGAGCACATCTACACTGTTCAAGTGTTCTTATAAAGACAGTTTTCCTCCACTGGGGTCTGTATTTAGCTTCAGTATAATGTTGCAAGTAGGTGAGAATTTTGCCAGGCAGCTGACTGTTTTTAAAAAAGTTAAGACAGTAATAGAGACATGAGCTGGACCTTTTTGGTTCTGTCCCTTTGAGCAATGCTACCACCTAGTGGCGGAATTGTGAACTGTCACAGAGTGGTGGAATAACAGACAGCACTGTGAACTTCCAGCATTAATAACACACCAGCCTTTCTCGAGGACTCTTCTGCAGAAACAGGAGTTAAATTGACTTGTTGGATAGATGATCTTTTCAATTAGTACCCAAAGGTCCTGCAGCCTCAACAGAAAAAAGTGAAATGTTTAGTTCATTCCCTTGAAAGCGATGTTAATTCATCTATTCATCATCATCACTATGTACAATGTCAGTCGGATATTTTGTTTTTGAACTGTCCATATGGTCACCCCATCAAGGTCATAAGATAGAATGAAATAGTGGAATAAAACATGATATTATATTTGGAGCACTACTAATGTCATTAGGTAACATGTTCCAGCAGGTTGGAGCATAAAGCTAAAGGCACTTTCACCCATATTCATGTAGACCCGGGGAATGTCCAGGCGACCTTTTCCACATGACCTTAGGGTCAAGCTGGCTCCTAGCTACAAGCATATCAGAGAGATATTAGGGTGCCTGACCACGTGATGCCTTAAAAACAAGCAATACAATTTTATAATCAATTCCAAAATTTACTAGAGGCCGGTATGGTGACTTCAGCACAGGTGTTATGTGGTCATTTTACTTTGTTCTGGCTGATGCATTTTGGAGGAGCTGCAGTTGGGTCATGTTTTTTTTTTTATGTATTCCTGTGAGCAGCAGATAATATTAGTCCATCTGACTAGAAATAGAGCAATGAACAATTTGCAGTTCCCCTCAGCTCTACAGAGCATTACTGTTGTGGTTTTACGACAAACAAATGTACTGTTCTGTACTGTTCATATTTCCCTCAGGAGTCGGTGGACACCAAATCAGAGCTAAGAGAAGAGTGAATGTTAAAATGACATTCACCAGATGGACAGAAACAGGACTTCAAATGAATACTTATGTTGCTCTATGTCTTCTGAATATGTCAATGTACCACCCCTTCGGTAACCTTGGAATTTTAAGGGTTGGGTATGTCGATGTTGTCCCATATCATTCATTCATTTCTGTAACCGCTTATCCTCTTGAGCGTCACAATCCCAGCTGACATTGAGGCGGGATACACCCTGGAAAGGTCGCCAGACTATCACAGGGCTGACACATAGAGACAGACAAGCATTCACACTCACATTCACACCTACGGCCAATTTAGAGTCACCAGTTAACCTGCACATCTTTGGACTGTGGGGGGAAGCTGGAGTACCCACAGAAAACCCACGCTGACACGGGGAGGACATGCAAACTCCGCACAGAAGGGCTCACTCCTGGGTTTGACAGGCAACAGTGCTAACCACTACACCACCGTGCCATCCTTTGTCCCATATGAAGTCTTTGTTTAATCATGTAATGAGACGATACAATTTACAGTAGCTACTTTCGGTGCAAAATCTCTATAGACTGACAAGCTGGCCACATCTGCAGGCAAATACAACACAAAAGCATCAGTAAGACACACTGTTGGTAAAATATACACTTAACAGCCACTTTATTAGGTACACCTGTTCAACTGCTCCTTAACCCAAATAGCTAATCAGCCAATCACGTGGCATCAACTCAATGCATTTAGGCATGTGGACATGGTCAAGACAACCTGCTGAAGTTCAAACTGAGCATCAGAATGGGGAAGAAAGGTGATTTAAGTGACTTTGAACGTGACATGGTTGTTGGTGCCAGACAGTCTGGTCTGAGTATTTCAGAAACTGCTGATCTACTAGGATTTTCACACACAACCATCTCTAGGGTTTATAGAGGATGGTCCCAAAAAGAAACTATCCAGTGAGCGGCAGTTCTCTGGGTGAAAATGCCTTGTTGATGCCAAAGGTCAGAGAAGAATGGCCAGACTGGTTCAAGATGATAGAAAGGCAACAGTAACCAGTCGTTACAACTAAGGTCTGCAGAAGACCATCTCTGAAAGAACAACACGTGGAACCTTGAAGCAGATGGGCTACAGCAGCAGAAGACCACACTAGGGTGCCACTCCTGTCAGCTAAGAACAGAAAATTGAGGCTACAGTTCACACAGGCTCACCAAAACTGGACAATAGAAGATTGGAAAAATGTTTCCTGGTCTGACGAGTCTTGATTTCTGCTGCTACATTCAGATGGTAGGGTCAGAATTTACATGAAAGCATGGATCCATCCTGCCTTGTATCAATGGTTCAGGCAGGTGGTGGTGGTGTAATGATGTGGGGGAGATTTTCTTGGCACACTTTGGGCCCCTTAGTATCAACTGAGCATCATTTTTAAACACCACAGTCTACCTGAGTATTGTTGCTGACTGTGTCCATCCCTTTATGACCACAGTGTACCCATCTTCTGATGGCTACTTCCAGCAGGATAACGCACCATGTCACAAAGCTCAAATCATCTCAAACTGGTTTCTTGAACATGACAATAAGTTCACTGTACTCCATTGACCTCCACAGTCACCTGATCTCACTCACACTTTGTTGAGTCTATTCCACGAAGAATTAAGACAGTTCTGAAGACAGAAGGGGGTCCAACCCGGTACTAGCTAGGTGTACCTAATAAAGCGCACGGTGAGTGTAAATGCGCCTTAAACTGTGTGTGTGTGTGCTTCTGGCCCGTCATAATAGCATGCACACGTGCCCATTGTAACTACCTTATGCCACTGTCAAGAGCCCTTATTAATTTACATGACGAGATTATTATTGTACAAAATGGATATAAATTCAGTTGAATAAAAGGTGGTTGATACACAAGGCCTTAGATATATTACAGGCAACTATGGCTCATGAGGTAGAGTGGAACACCAGCGGTTCAACCTCCGGCTCCTCCAGTCTGCATGTCGAAGTATCCTTTGGAAAGATACTGAACCCCACACTGCTCCTGAAGGCTGTTCCATCTGTGTGTGAGTGCCTGTGAATGTTTAGTTGAGCAGCATTGTGAATGGGTGAAAGTGACAAGTAGTGTAAAAGTGCTTTGAGAAAGGTGCTATACAAATGCAATTCTATCCATCCAAGTAGCACATACACCCAAAATAATACACTAAGGTATAATGATGGACAGGACACCTTGCAGCTACAGAGGGAGCTCGGAGTATAGCCGCTACTCCTTCGTGTTGAAAGGGGTCAGTTGAGGTGGTTCAGGCATCTGATCAGGATGCCCCCTGGGTGCCTCCCAGTGGAGGTGTTTTGGGTACATCCAACTGGTAGGATGCCCTGAAGCAGACCCAGAACACACTGGAGGGATTATATATCTCGTCTGGGCTGGGAACGCCTCAGGATCCCCCAAGAGGAGCAGGAAAGCATTGCTGGGGAGAGGGGTGTCTGGAATTCTTTGCTCAGCCTGCTGCCCCTATGACCCGGCTTTGGATAAGCAGCTGAAAATAGATGGATGGGAGACAACCTGCTTACTTACATAAGGAGAGGGTAAATGTCTTCTGTCTACAACAGTGAGGCATAATGTGGCTATACCACCACAGTGCAACAGCTGACACAATACATTATACATTATTGGTACAGTTATGGCTTCCAACCAGCTGTTAGAACAGCTAATGGTTTCCAGTGTAGAAGTGAAAGAAAACATTCTCACACTGCCACACACACACATGAATGAAATCCACAAGTGGGGATTGTATTTAGACACAGACCACAAAAGTATTAACAACATCACAGTGACATAACCATTAAATGTCACAGCATGTGCAGAGTGGTGTCATATTGCAAGCAACACTGAGCTTCAGAGATCACTATGCTGTACAATGTTGCACATGCAGGTTTGTGGATGACAACAAATTAGACATGCTATAGAAAAGATTTTGAGATTCTACTTTTATATGATAATATGATTTGATTAGCTACTTGGCTACCAAACAGGAAATATCCAGACAAGTCATTTGGCTGAAATTTGACTGCAATAAAACAAAGCATACTGGAAATGAGACAAGTGTAACACTAGTTAAGACCGACGTGTGTGGATTATAAGGACGGGGCAATGAGTTATCTGTTGTGTTGTTCAGTGCATTCTTTACATGAATGAAAAAGTGTCGTCTCTGCCTGCTGCTGTCACCAGTCCACCAGAGATGGAAAGAGACAGGAGGGGGATATCGTTATCTGCCAATGCCATGTAATTCAAGACGGTGCCCTATGATGCATGCACACTAGCCCTCTCTCTCTTTCTCTCTCTCACACACACACACACACACACACATGCACACACACACACACACACACTCACTCATATACACACTGTGAGCTTAACGTACAAAAATATGCTCAAAAATGCACGGGCAAACGGAAAGCAGAACGTACACATAGCCTCAATATAGACAGACATTTACACTCCAACACACACAGCATAGCAAGCACACACACAGTTATTCTTGGGGAGCCCGCGTGCACACACTCACCCTCACAAGCTCTGAAGACAAAGGTAAGGGCGTATTAAATAATAATAATACAGAAACTTATTTCCACTGTGTGTATCATAGGCTTAACTCAGTTATCGGTAGCCCAGGAAACACTCTGTGTGCTTAGAAGTTAATGTGTGTATGTTGACTGAGCATGTGTCTTCATTATCAGCTGTGCCTGTCACAGATTTTGTTTTAAACTGCAGTCACAGAGCAATAACCATGGCTTTGCAGTGTTAGCAGAGTTAGTTGGAGATGTATTAGATTTAGCAGTGGGCCAGATATTGTTGATTTTACTCATGTTTGCTCTCAGTAATACCTGCAATTATTTCCCTGGTGGGGACACGGGTGTACCAGGGTGACCCCAGCTAAATAATCAACCATGCTTATAAGAATATAAGCATGGTCTAATTCTGTCCTTCTCATTGTATAATACAGCTATCAAAGTGTTAATATGAGCCGTATGTTGTGCTTGGTGGTCTTTGATGTGAAAAAGTTTGAGCCCCTTATTATATGAGTTGATATTATTAAATGTTTTATGAGTATTGACATGGCAGAGTGAAGCAGTGTATCCATATTTTACCACTTAAAATTAAAAACATAATACTTCATATAAGATATTTATTCACATTATGTCCTGCAGATGCTCACTTTCTCCACTAGAGGGCGGGGCTACACGTTGCCACTACTTTACTTCAGTTGTTTATCCAATCAGAAAGCGCCCAGTGTTGTACCCTTGGTAACCGGGGCAGTGATATTATGGTATGTAGACATGGCAGCCTGCAGTGGAGGCGTGCATGTCAACAGAAGACGATTGATTGATATTTTATTGTTGTGATGCGCGTCTGATGGACCTGCAGCGACATTTGGACACTTCCGGGACTCCGTCGTCGATACTGTGTGTATTAATATGTGTATTTCTAGTTTTAAGACGTGTCCTAATGTTGTTCTAGTTTCTCTGATTTCACTTGAGCGGACACATCATCAACACACCCATCACGTTAACGTGCACGGGCTGCAGTGGATGCTGAATGGGCTGCTGACAGTCAGCATGTAAGAGGAAAGCAGCTGTCAGATGACGTAATGGCATGCATCAGGTTTATGAGAGTGTCAGAGCTTAAGAGGAAAATATGAAATATAAGTATTTACAATGAGGTAACGTCTGTTTGCATGTGATATTCATCTATTTATTAAATACACTGTTACTATTTTACTACATAATGTTGGAACTGACTTTCCTACAGTTAATACTACACATTGTAGCGTTACAGGAGTATCAGTGCACACTCACTGGCCACTTTATTAGGTACACCTGGCTTCTCAGAGATTTTGGTCCATATTGACATGATAGCATCACACAGTTGCTGCAGATTCACAAAGGTGCTCTATTGGATTGAGATCTGGTGACTGTGGAGGTCATTGGAGTACAGTGACCTCATTGTCATGTTCAAGAAACCAGTTTGAGATGATTTGAGCTTTGTGACATGGTGCGTTATCCTGCTGGAAGTAGCCATCAGAAGATGGGTACACTGTGGTCATAAAGGGATGGACACGGTCAGCAACAATACTCAGGTAGACTATGGTGTTTAAACCATGCTCAGTTGATACTAAGGGGCCCAAAGTGTGCCAAGACAATATCCCCCACATCATTACACCAGCAGCAGCACCAGCCTGAACCATTGATACAAGGCAGGATTTATCCCTGCTTTCATGTTGTTTACACCAAATTCTGACCCTACCATCTGAATGTCAGTTGTTGGTTCAGAGATGGTCTTCTGCAGACCTTGGTTGTAACGAGTGGTTATTTGAGTTCCTGTTGCCTTTCTATCATCTTGAACCAGTCTGGCCATTCTCCTCTGACCTTTGCCATCAACAAGGCATTTTCACCCAGAGAACTGCTGCTCACTGGATAGTTTCTTTTTGGGACCATCCTCTATAAACCCTAGAGATGGTTGTGTGTGAAAATCCCAGTAGACCAACAACCATGCCACGTTCAAAGTCACTTAAATCACCTTTCTTCCCTATTCTGATGCTCAGTTTGAACTTCAGCAGGTTGTCTTGACCATGTCTACATGCCTAAATGCATTGAGTTGCTGCCACGTGATTGGCTGATTAGCTCTATGTGTTAACAGACAGTTGAACAGGTGTACCTAATAAAGTGGCCGGTGGGTGTGTATTATCTGTTCTGCACCACAAAAATTGAGTTTACTCAAGAAACAAAACCCTCTACGTACGTTATGGCACAAATTTATTTACTGAAAGTGAGTAAATGCCAACAAACACAGTGTTTCTATTAGCCACCTTTGTTTCTAATTACCTGTTGATGCTTGTAAAAGTGTAAGGATGCATGTTATCATTTGCATTTGAACACTTCTAAAATGGTGTGGCAGAAATGAGCTTCTTGTAATTTGTGTAAACACAGCATACTTCTCCTTAAAGAATTAAACAAGGGAGGGTGGCTCTTTGTACTTAAGGGCTTGTTCTTTATTTATCAAAGGAGTGGGTTACTATTTTTGGTAATAACTGTACATGCCATACATACAGGAGTGCAGAATTTGTTGTTGTTGTTGTTTTTACAGGACATGGTCAGAGTAAATGGTTTATTTTTGATGAATTTAAACAAGACATGTAGGATAACATGATTTTGATGAAATGTTGCTATTTTATGCTTCTGTTTTTACAGTTTCTGGCGATGATAAATGCTGTAAGTTTGGGGATTTTTAAAGGAAAAATGCCTTTCAAGCCTGCTGATGGGTTTAGGGGTTCTGGGGGTATCTAAAATAAATACAAAATATAACCATTTATAGTTGTATGTCCCCCACTTGAGACAAATTTAAAAAAAAAAAACACAAGTCCCTCCCAAGTGCTTAAGAAATCTTTTGACATGCTTCCCTGCTTTGTACCATTGTTCCCCCCTCATAAAAGAGGAACAGTCTCTTAGTGAAAACTGAGTCAAGGAAATTGTGAAACACTGTAATTCAATGAAGCAGTAATGTAGACAACAGGATAATTAGATCTACCCGTGGGAAGCTCACAATGCATACTGTATATTGAGAACCAGTGACACCACAAATTTTTTGAAAATGGAAATGGACGAGAATGGATCTCCTACTGCATGTTGGAGCTAATAAACGGAAAGGCTGGATCATAGATGATTACATAACTTTCTCAGCTTTCATTTGTGCTCCATTTAACCTCTCAAATATGGAGCCCTGAAACTGACAAATGAAATGAAAACATACAGTTGAAAATATAACTGAATAAATCAATTAATAATACAGTCAGGTCAATCATTTACATGGATGTAGAAGTTTATGCTTTTTCTTCAACCTCCAGTTGATAGAAATAAATAAAAACTTAGCCTATTTGACCTTACTCTTGTATTTATCTTTTAATAGCTTATTTTATGTTTTAGCTCCTTAGTTTTCTTAAGTTCTTGGCACATATTTAACTAGTAATCTATTCCCTTTTTTTAACATATGTGTTTAACATTGATAGAGCTGTCAAGAGGAGTGTGTGGCTAGCTAACGTTAGGTTTCCTGAAAACACTTGTAGCTAAACACACTGAGCATCCGCACTTTTAGCTAGCTACCTAGCTGAAGCTAACTTTCATTATAAAACAACAGTGTAATGTAATGTTAATTATCTACATACAGCAGACTGCTGAAGCTTCACTGTAGTCTTGTAACAGTAACGTTAGCTAAAGGGTTTTTAAAGGAAGGCTAATGCTAGCTCCGTACACTGCGGCTAGGTCACTATGTAAACAGAGTAAAATAACAAGACATTTATGGCATGTGTGGCTGTCCTCTGTTGCTCTTTCTGAAGTTTCTACCATTTTTTCCCTCGTTAAAGTTTTTTTGGGGGGTGGCGTGTTTCCTCCTAACCCACCAAATGTCCCATTTTATTCTGTATCCCCAGATTAAACCAACACTGCCCCACTCGTCACAGCCACCTCCGCCATCATGCCCGGTGAGGATAAACCACCGCAACAGACCCGCCAGAGGAAAAAGAACAAAAAATCCCGCTCCAAGGGGAAGAGCCCGGGTGGGAGTCCAAGCGCCCATCTGGGGAGCTCTATAGACGGCCAAGATGACCTCATCTTACCCCCAGTGCTCCAGCCTCCTCCTAAAAAGCCGGCGGAGGAGAAGCCAAAAGTGCCTGTGGCCAAAATGGAGGAGGAGTCAGCCATTGCTATCTGTCTTCAGGTGCTTTTTCCCTACCTGCTGGCTGGGATGGGCATGGTGCTGGCCGGCATGGTGCTGGACGATGTACAGGTGAGTGCACGACCATGAGGCTGGTTTTGGAACAGTGAACTGACAGTATGCACATTACACCCGAATGGTGGCAGCTTGATGTGTTGGTATTTGTCTTTAATAACGTGTGTCAAAGTTGTTACAGTATTCATTTTGAACCAGTAATGAAGCATAGTTCAGTGTTCTTGTATTGTGTTTAACTTCCATTGATAAATTGCTAGTTTATTGACATTATGTGTCCATTTTTTGGTCAGTTCAATTTTGTTGCCTCTTTATTTCCGGCCTCTATCAAAGACAGCACAAGTCAAAGGTCTCTGTTCTGATCCGTTGACATAGCCTATCATACATTTCTCCAAGTCTAAAACAACTGAGGTAGTCATATGTCCTGATGCCACCACATCCACCACAGATATTGGATTAAAAATACAGTTTTTGGTGCAAAGTTAGCTACAGCATGCTTTTAAACTAGCTTATTTTGTGTTTTAGCAGTAGCTTGATGTCTTATCATGAAAAAATCTCCAAAGCCATCATCTCATCGGTATGATGACGTTATGTGAAGCAGATTCTTAAAAATAGCTTTTGTAGTAATAAGCTTGTTAGACATTGTCTAGGTGGTGGAAAATTAGAGGGATCATATTTATATCCATATATATGGATTTATATGCTTTTTTTTTTTTTTTTTTTTTTTTTGCATGTCTACTGATTTTGTTTAAACCCGATATTTCTGCACAGATACAAATGAAGACTAGGCTGCACTGATATTATTAGTGTTATACTTTTTGTAGAATTAGATTCCAGTTGTGGCTGCAGAGGATTGTTTCCAACTTGAGTGATCCAAACATTTCCAATAACTCCAGAGCTCTGTCCAAAAGACAAAAAGCATATAAAGAAAAAGAAAAGATAGATGATTTCCAAAATTCATAACATTTTATATCTAATGAAATATTCTGCTTTAATCCATATTTATCAGTGTTAAGCCTTTCAAAAATAACATTTTTACCTCAGTCAAAAATTGTTGGCTCTCCTGCATGCTGCACTCAAGTGGAGCCAAGCAGCTGTATTAACAGGGCAGTCTAGCAGCAGTCTAACAGGAAACTAAATTACATTTATATAACCACAAAAACAAAAAATCTGCTCTAGTACTGTTGTAGCAAATTGCCAAAGTCATAACAAAAAAAGATTACGTTATATATCTTTTTTTATTTTAACCTCTAGAGATTAGAAATCTCTTTCTCAGAGTGTCCTGGCCAAGACAGGCAGTAACATAAGTTACAGACAGACAACATACAACAAAAATACAAAATAAAGATATACAGCTCTAAAGCAAGCAAAAAGTACGTTAATATATAAATGAACCATAAAAATGGGGCGACTACATATAATTATAAAGACTGGCTAATATACACCCTGACATTGACATTGACATTTGTTTGGTGCTCAGTGCTCTATCAAGATGTCATCTATTTAAACCAGGGGTCAGCAACCTTTGCTATTAAGAGAGCCATTATTGGCCAAAAAAAGAAAAGAAAAAATCTGTCTGGAGCCACAAAACATATTTTAATAAAGGTAACAGCCTATTAAATCTAAATTAGCCCATCAACATTAAGAAGTGGTCCAAATGAGCATCCATTAATGTGATTTACCACAAGGGAGCTACTCTGTTGGGGCTGTTTAAGTCTTTGGGCTCTAGTTTCCCGGCACAGCGCAGGGTGGCAAACCCTGCGCAGAGCTAGTTTCGAGCAGCGCAACCCGAGGTGTGCCCTGTTTGGTAGTTTGGCAGACCGAGGTGCGCTGAGATGGGTGTGGCGACGCAGCAGGGGGAGGTGTCGACAGATCCAGCTTGGCGCAGTGACAGTTTCGTGCCAAAACACTTCGCCGAAGGTGCGCTAAAAGCTCACCAGCTGAAACCACGTCTACTGTCAGCCTGTGTAAGCCGAAGTTTGGCTGACTGGCGGACAGTGTGCACACGTCACCAAAACCTCACAGGCAGGTTTCCAGAATATCAGGCACATTAATAATGCAATAAATACCCACAGGAACCACTATTCAATGCAACTATCTGCAATCAGCACATAAATGTATCTCTATATCGACTGTCCCGTCACATCTGATGTCAGATCAAAGGGGATTGGCACCGTTTGGCACGTTTGGCACTCGTAATGGAAACCCAACCTGATTTGATTAACACAGCTGCAAACTAATGAGTTCACATCCCTCTCAGCCAACCACAAACAGCCACAGCATCAGATAGGGAGTATATATTCAGCATCTGTTATAAGGATAGACCGATACATCGGCCGGCCAATATATCGGGCGGATATTTGAGTTTTTTACTTGTATCGGCATCGGCCGATACGCGCGTGGGTTCGCGGATTTATTTTTCCCTGGCACTTTTTTTCATTTGAAAGTATGTGGTTAAGTTGAACAAAGCTGTTGAATCCTACTGTGTACAGTAGTTGTTGTTTTATTTATGCTTCAGCTTAAATATTTGTTTATTTTATAAAGACATTACTGGAAGATTTAAGAGCACTGAACTCTTTTTTTTATTTGAATGTATAATAATAATAATAATATTCTACCTGTTCTACATCAACTTTCCATCTTGTTTTAGTATTTTTTACTGTTCAATAAATGTTTCTTATTTTAAACTTGAGACCTGTAATATTTGTTATCATTGTGTCATTTTTTTGATGTAAATTGAGGGAGCAAAAGCAGCATCGGCCCCAAATATTGGCTCAAGAAAATCGGCAGTCCATAATCGGTCATCGGCTAAGGGTGATGGAAAAAAATCGGTATCGGCATCGGCCCTAAAAAATCCATATCGGTCTATCCCTAATCTGTTACATAAGTCCTTCATGCTATATGTTAGTTTGTAAAATATTATAAAATATTTGCTAAAATGCAGACCCAAGTTGGTCACAGGCAGCAGATGTCGAGACACATTTCCACTTCAAGTGGCAGAAAGACAACATATTGCTGATGAGTGCCTCAATGCTGCTGGGAAACACACAATAAGATGGATGGACTATAAAGGTAAGCAAGGCAATGTGGATTAAGTGTTATTTGAGAAATTGGCTCTCACAAGAATGCCTGGCTTTCAGTCACAATAGGAGGTAGAAACATTTGTAGTGGGTAATATCCATATTTTTGAAAAATGTTTTTTCAAGTGGGACATTTAAAAAAACACCTTTGCTGCTGTTAAAGCTCAGACAGCCCTCTCCATTGGTGTGTGGTCCCCTTGTGTCTTTATCCTCTGCCAGGCGTCCTGAGCATCTGGGCTGCAGCCAGCTGGGCCGAGGGAAATCAGACACACTGCTGTCTGCTTTACCTCTTTTCTCCCTCTCTGTCCTCCACTGATAGACACACATGGCTTATCCCCTTCGCTCCGTCTACTGCTCATCAGTATTTCTTACACTCTCTCATCTACAGTATCTGTTACTCTCCTGCGTCTGATGGAGGACAGTTAGTCATGAGTTCTGTCTGGCTGCTGTATCTCAAAGCTCAGGGGACGCAGCAAGACATTAAGAGGAGCCTATCTGAATGGAAAGGACATAAAGACGAGCTCTTCACTGTCAGCAATTAGGACTGTTACTGTAGCCTGTGGTTGTTGTGGATCATGTCTAAATAGCTACTTCCTGTTGTCATAGCTTCAACTTAAATCCCACATGTTGCATCCTACATCCTATATCCGCCAGTGTTTTTTTTTTTTTTTGCCAGTTTTTGACCCTCGTGGTTTGCCATTGCTTTCCAAGTTATGGCTCACTCAGCTTTACTGAGCTTGGACATGCATTACACAATTATGTGCATAGATTTCTGACGCCTCCTTAACATGACTTGAAATGGACACTGGGGCTCCTTCCTGAACTACTAAACTCTTAATCATCATCACAGCGGAATATCCCACCCATGGGCTTGTAGTGGATTTAAACCTAAACGTGACCATAGTTGGTCAGCCTCCCAGAAGCCTGGGCGTTATGCTGAGAATGTTGTGACAAATAATTATTATGCCAAACTGTTACAACACAGACCAGGAGTGTAGGAGGGCCAGAGACTATGTTCATTACATTTAATTTAATGCGTACAAGTGATAAAGGAGAAGGCTGTGTAGGTGAGAGAAGGAGGAATAAAATACCATTCGGCACATCCATGGTGGTGACATGCAGCTCCTCTTGTGTAAAATCAGATGATATGGCCATTTGTTTCGAATGAACAGCTAATGTGTGAAGATTAACTGCTAATATCAGTTTCACTGGAACACTGGCGCTCTGCCCGCTGTTTAAATGCTTGGTATGGAGGTTCCATTTAGCACTTTTCAATTAGTATTACCAGCTAGCTTATAATCATAAACAAACAAACTTGCAATTTATGATCTCTTGGATTGTTAGCAGATAAAATACACCATTTCATAAAAATTTGAATAGCATGAAATTGGAAAAGCTGTACCAAAGACAGCTGTACCAAGCCCAGCTAACACGAGGTACGCCGGCAGACACCTGTCTAAGCAGTCCCTGGTCAGTCCTTTGTTGGCATGCTGCTCAGAATCCAAATTGAATCCTTCAGTGGAGATGAATTTAAATGAAATAAATGTCATGGAGAAGAGGCTTTTGGAGTTTATGTGTCAAATTATTGCCTTCATTTCGCCTTGTTTACTTCAATCATTAACCTGGATTTGTCTGTTTGATCCATCAAAGGCATGAAGATAGATATTCACATCACAGCTGTAGCTGCAGTTTTTGGAGCTCTCCACTGATTTTGCAGTTTGTTTGGTGTCTTTTTACAGTTTGAAATGAAGTTTGCTCATCGTGAGTAGTACTAGGTTGTCTTTGAGTAGCATTGTGGGAAATGTAGAGTCCAACGTTTTGACACATATTAGGGACCAAAGACCATGTCTTGGCCTGCGCTACTTTGATTTTGACTGTTCTTTTTCTGACCTGTCTCCTGTGACTCTACGGAAATACTAGTGGTCGAGTACCCTGGTTATTCTGGGAGAAAAAATGTGTGATACATTTATATGAGCTAAT